CATGGGGGTGTTTCAACAAATGAGGCAAGGTAAAGTGTGGTCAATACAGCCCCGATTTCGACGGAACAGTGCTTGATCCTCAAGAATCTGGCTTTCACGGGTGTCACTTAGTCTGTATAGAATAACATAAGCAAGTAAGTTAAAGGCAACTGTGAACAATATAACTCTTCCTTGATGGCGACAATCCTTTGATTCTCAGCCAAAACACATATCTAAGGGGTCATCTGTTTACATTAATAAATATAAATATGTATAGGTTGGCCACGCAGTACAGCTGGCTGGAATGTCGATGAAACTGCATCCGCCTGTCACAGCTCTAGTACTCCATTCCAGCTGCAGTAACGCCCTTGGGATGGATGAGGTCACGAACCGTATAACAAGAGCTCGAGATGGAGACTTTCGGAGCTGCTTTTTCCTAAAACTGCACTCCACAACCGACCGGTTTCGTCCTGATTTGGACTCGTCAGGCGCTGCTGAGGAGCTCTGCCTAGTGACCGACACGAAGGCCGTCAACCATTGTGTTGGGCTCCCCTCTCATCTTAAGCTATCTCTACCTGACGAGTCCTAATCAGAAGGAAACCGGTCGGTCGTGGAGTGCAGTGTTGGGAAAAAGCAGCTCCGAAGCATCCCCCCTACGGATGCGGTCCCAGTGATAGAAATGACATAGGCTTGCTTCAAAGCAAACTGTAGCCTCAATCGAGATTGCGTGTCGCCATTCAAATACACGGCGCCTATTCCAGTAGCAAATAATAAAGAGTTCGAGGGGCTTTTGCCAATCTCCGCCATCTGTGGAGTCGACGCGACATCTCTCTCGTCCTGAATGGTAACGTTTACAATGCAGCCGTGCGTTCAACCGTTATGTACTGCTGCGAAATCTGCCGCATTAAGTCGATGAACGGAAAGGGAATCGAAACGTTTGACTATCGCTGCCTTCGCAGCTTAGCTCATATCTGGTGGGAACACCGAGTGGGCTATGAATGTATTCGGAGTCGCATATTTGGTGCAGGAAGAGCAAGTGGACCGCTCAGCACCATTGTATCAGGTTCCGCGTTCCGATGGCTGGGCCACGTGTTGCTCATGCCAGCACATAGACTCCCGCGACGTGCGTTGTTTGCGCGACCGGGGTGTTGATGTAAGAAGAGCAGGGGAGGCCAAGCGATGATTTGGTCGAGAGAAATGAAAACCCTCAGTTCGAAGTTGGTGTCTGTCGGTCGATCTCGACTGCCGGGCTGGGGCCCCAAGATCGGTGAACACATTTGTTTGGATACACTAGTTTAGATGTGCACAAGCCGACCTCGATGACGTTTGTGTTGTGCGCTTTTTGTCTCTCTCCCTCCCTTTAGCTTCCACTCCAAACCGCGATCCCTAACCAAATGCCTAATGTGATATTTAGCATTAGATCACTTTTTCGTTTTGTATTTTATAACATTATATATGTTCTTCGTATTGCGACACATTGACTGGGGTGTATTTTCTACTCTCAGCTGTCGTCTCTTGCTGCTAATGATGATTACCTAACCATTTGCACTCGGACTACTGGAACCAGAGTTACGCTAGCAGCGGACGCTTGTACAAGTTCTTACCATGACATGACCGGAACAGAGGATTCCTTTCGTATCTAACATTGTCTGCGGCTAACTGAAGGCTTTGTCGTCCAGCCGACCAATTCATCCTTGCTTTTGTTTAAACTCCTGTGAAGTCTATCCCTTATTGGATTCGCTGACCTATCTATTGGTTTCACTCGCAATTCTTTAAATTGTGATCCGCCAATCAATCCCCCAACTTAAGGTGGCTTTTGGTACTATCTCAACCTTTCTTACAAAGGTGGGTCCCTGAGGAGAACTATTGAAAGAAAGATCTCTTCACAGATGTTCTTTGAATAGCAGAACATTTGAAGATATCACCTTCGCGAAGTCATTTAGGAAGACTATGAGCATTCGGTGCCGTAGTCCGGAGCCTTGAGATACGTCACATGGGACTTTGCTTGGATCTGATAGGGTGCTGGTAACCCTCACCTACAGATGACGTTGAAGGAGAAAGTTGCCTATCCGGCACAGAACGGAATCGCCGGTTCCATAAGTCTGAACTTTGTGAACTGGAATGACGTGATCCAGACGGTCAAATGCCATCGAGAAATCCGGATAGACGGCATCTATTCCTAATCCAACATCTACGGACTCCGTTCAGTATGCACGAGCCATCTATAAGTTATCAGTACATGATCGCTTTTAGCGAAATCCATGTTGCTCCGGAGCGAGAATTTCGTTACCCTGCAGGCACCCCATAAATGCCTCAGCGACAATGGATTCCATGACTTTGGAGATCACCGGAACTGATGTTATCGGGTGATAGTTCGCTAGTTCTGCACGGCTGCAACTCTTGTCGTTGAAGTGACGTTCCTTTGTCTCCACATTTTCGGAACTTGCATCTCATTAAGACATCGTTGAAAGAATGTTACTAACCATTCAGCTAAACTCACGTTCTCAACTTTCAACTCATTTGACAGAATATCTTCTGCACTATGGGAACTGTACTAGCGTAAAGACAATAGTCACATCAGCACGTTCGCAGCCTTGAAGGAAATGTAGCTAAGTCCCGGTGTTTTTCGTTATCTGTGTGAGAATGGAATGAGATGGCAGCACGTTCTGGAAAGTACAAGTTAATTGATATCTAAGAGCGCTTGCTGTTCCTTGCGCATTTAAGGCTTGCCCGCATGCGGTGATTAGAGAAGGGATAGACCGCTGAATTTTGCAAAGTTAACATGCCTGTAAAGTAGCTTCGGATTGGAGCAGAGCTTCTCTATATCGCGTTGGTGTTTCAATTTGTCCTCACAAACTAGCCTGATGCAATGGTTTCGCTCGGTTATGTAAGCATTTTAGTTTTCGGTGCTTGGATTGGCATTGTATACTTTCATTTGTATCTTTCAATGTCCTTCAATTCCGTACCTTACTCATCAGGAGGTCCGTTCTTGAAGCTAATGATTATTCATGAGTCTGCAGCTAACGTGCTGAACTGATTGACGAATCCCCCAAAGCGACATCAAGGGGTCGTTAAGCTGGAAGCAACCAATCGGTGACCTTGTTGACGCCGAGTAGCATGCTGTGATGTGTTACCATACGAACCTCCTCGATGTCCCCGTTGTGGCGTTCTGCGTAACCGATATGCCGGAAAATGTGTGTTGCATGATCGGTGCGCCTCAAGTGGTCACTCACTTTTACTGTATCGATCATAAGTTCCTCATTGGTAAACACGAAGTCCAAAATAGCCGATTTGTTCACCGTACTGAATCTCGTGGCGTGATTATGAAATGGTTGACCAGCGGCTTTTTTGCCGTTCGGCCCTAGATCTCTCATAAAGTGAGGCCGCCAACTCTAGCTGGTGCAAGTTGAATTCTCCCACAAGGAGAACGTGGGTGTTAAACTGAGCCAGAACGGTTTTTGGAGCAGAAGTTAGACGGCTGTGCATATCTAGAGTGGGCATTGGGGGACTGTATACAAGGGTAACTAAACACGCGTCGCCATGTTTTAGTTGCAGACGGCACCAAATTCAGTCCATAACTTGGGTCCTTGGGTCGTCTACGATGTAGTGATGAAGCTCACTGCGATGGTGCAAAATTATGCCACCCCAACTGAGTCGGTCTTTACGTAGGTCTCACAGAGCGATCAGCGCCTTCATGGTTCAGGTTTCATTTATCAATAACAGGTACATAGACACCAAGGCTTGCAAGACTGAAGGTCAGATAATTGGTTGAAGAGGCTCTATGCATTGGTATACATACGAGAGCGTGCTTCAAATGTCAGAAGCGTATCTGAGGGCGCGATATTAGGTTCAAGCTTTTGCCGACCATTGTGAGATAGATAATTAACCGATTTTTTGGAACTGCTAATACTGAACTTTGAGCCGCTTCATATTGACTGATATAATGCTCAACGGAGGAAGTTCCAGTTTCAGTAATTATTGGGAAACTCGCCACTCGCTCGCTGTGGTCTGTTTCGGAAGTAAGACTTACTAGGTCGCTGTCAGACCCTGATGGCTGCTCTCTCGGTCATTTGCGGTCTGGTGTCGAATTTCTTAATGTTTAGCTCTGAGGGAAGCTTCTTACACCATTTGCGTCACGTCTCAAGTGCGTTCTCCACCATGTGCTTGGACTGGAACACAACTTTCATCCCCTTGGGACCACACCCTTTGTACTTTAACGATGAGGATGGCTTTTTGATAAAGTTGGTCATCACGCTAACATGTGAAAGAACCTGAAGAATGTAGCGCTATTCCTGCCACTTATGGTCTTGTGTTTGTGTTTTAACCTAACCACTTCAAATTAGATACTGAACTTCGACGACCACTTGTCCACTAACCATCAAAATGCTGTTCGGTTTGCGGAAGTTTCCGCCTTTCTTTCCATTCCCCTGCGTCATATGCCAGAAACTGGGAGGGTGAATCCACCCTGTGCAAATTTCCAGTAGCCCACTCAAGGCAGATAGACATTTTGTTCATTATCAAAATTATCCTGCTTAGTGTGCTGTACAACATTTTGAACCGTTCATCATGTTTATAAATATTTGGTATGTTGGTCTGTAAAACAAACTCCCCGAATTCTCACTGAGCAAGCAGTGCGTCTTATGATATCGCTGCCAACACGGCTTTCTTCTTGTGTAAAGGAGGTGGTGGTAACACAAGCCGACTGTACCCGATGATGCTTCGGTACTACACACATATTTTTCAATCAACTGATTGCATCACATACGGATACTACTAGCGATTTTGGCTTCAATACTGTTCTGAGTAATCTATGCGCAGGACAAGCTTTGAATTATTTCTTCCAGCCTCACTTTTAGGAAGTTCAGAGTAATCTTAATTCACTTTTTGTTTCACTAACCACACTCTTCATGGTGATTCCAGAAAACAATTTTCGTGCACTGACCCACATGTTTCGTTTGATACCATGTTTATTCGATTCTCCTGAATTGCGCTAATCATACAACTTCTCGTGGAATCCTTAGATCTTGGATGACACAAGCAGAGAGTGGTGGAAGGTGGAGAACTATGGAGGAGAAATTGGTCTGGTCCCGAAATGGAAACTGCGGCCTTTTCGTCTTACTGCTAGCAGCCATATCTCCCACGTCTCGCCTCATTCCTCACCAGCAATTCAACCTGGCACTTCGGTTTCTGGTGAACACAACTCTGCTTTCCAAACACAGCGGTGGGATGTGGACCCAATATCAACCAACAAACCAGTGACTAGTTCTTCTTTCGTATCGCCTTTTGCCGCTGGATCACAATATGATGACATTTCATTGTCCAATTTGACTCCGCTGGTAGTGTACATTCCGCGGGAGGTGGACAGGCTGGTATCCGAGCAGAAACAATCAAATCCACTGCTTCTGATGCCATACGGACAGAAGCAAGAAAGCAAGTCCCGCTTCAAGCCAGACTCCCATTCCCCCACAACAATGACTCCACCGACGGCGTTCGAAAAAAGCTCCAAATTGCCCTCTTTCTGTCATTCTTCTGGACAGCCGTGGTCAAAATACGGCCATCCACATTCACCGGTGGCTTGTAAGCCAACTATTCTTTTGGAAACGAAACAACGTTCCAGGTTCTAAACGGAATACGACAAACGAGCTTTGTCATGCGCAACGAGAGAAGAAGCGCATCGGGCTCGGTGGGTATCAAGAATGTACCGATTACCTTTAACAGTTAGACATACTTACTTCTTTCATATCTTCTTCAAAACGCATATATCCTTACAATTTTATCCAACACGCGCTTTTGAAAGCAAAACGTTTGTTGCTTCAGGTTACAATGACTTTCGCGCGAAAAGGAAATATGTCATTGACTACCTAAAACCAGATCACGATGTTTGAGGGAATTTGCATCTGGGGTGAAATTGTAGTTTACTAAACATCAGTAGACAGCATAAAAGAGCCGTTTAGTCAGCGTTTTTCCCTAGCACAGCCACGATCAGCACCCAGCAGGGGAAACAATGATTGCTTACTGTAGTTCTGACAATGGCCGAAATTCGAGTTCCTTTGGATCCTTCGATTAAGTGCAAATGGGTGGTTTTCCTTCATGAAATTTATACTTGTCAGGTATCGTTGTGGTGTTAGAAGAACCGAGGTCCCGGACATGATTTTTTCGAAGGTGGTAATTTACCGAAAGTAGGACAAGTACACTAAAGATCAGCATCTTTGGCCTTTCGGTTGATGAAGCCGAGAATTCCGCGTTTCTCCAGGAAGACGGAAGTATCCTAAAACAAGGAATTGAACATAGAATGGTGTGACGCGGTCCATTTAAACTAAGTTCACCAAAACCAATTAGCCCCTAGATTGAAGGCAATCGGTTCTACTTTTCCCCTTATGAATTTCTGGGACCTACAGGAAGCTGCAACCAAAGTAATTCATTGTGCCGGCCAAGAATGTTACTTGGAATTATGTTGCTACTTTAAACCATGTACTGACATGTCGGTGGTTTTATTATTTATCGCACCAGCGTGGCACCATTCTCTCAGCAAAGGCCTTGCTCAACATCACGCTCATCTCCGTAGTTCTTTGTATGGCATACGATAATCAACATCCTGACCAGTAAACTAGCGCTAACCATCCATGCCCGACAACAGGCTTGATGGTGTTTGCGCAGTAGTTACAGTGGACGGCCATTATGTGTATTGGCTTCCGTAATGCACCTTGGGCGTTGAGAACCACGATCCCGCGCTTCGCCATGACTGATCGGGTACCCTTTCACGCACCTCAGGGCACCAGTCACAAAGCAGTCCATAGCTCCCAAGCTCAGGAGTTGGGTAATTTAGCCGCAATGTAGGTGAAGAGTTACTTTAGGTCCCACGTCGATATGTGTCTTCTAGGCTCTAGGCGACTACTCAGCGCTCCTCAGGCTGTGGATACAATAATTATGTGCAGCGCCTTTGGGACAACTTCAGGGATCCCTAGAGTTGCCATAACATCCCACTATTATCTGCTTATCACTCTCTGTTGTGTAAAATTGTTGGGAGCATTTAAATTTGTGTTCATCTCTCAGGGTAAGCTTATGCACAGCTTCGACTCTCAGTTTAGTGTTTGCCACATCTTTCCTCTCCGCGTCTTCCCATCCAGAAAGACCCATGGAACTGATTCTGAGTAAGAGCCTGCGAATTCATGTATTATTACCAGCTCGTAGGCTAACTATAGCGCGTTATCCTGCAGTGCAGCATCCCTAGAGCAAAATAGGCGCGGAATAATAGGTGCCGTCATGACAGTGAGTAGGACGTGAGTATTCACTTTCAGCTGGCTCAACAACAACGTATACCACTTTAGCAATGACGATGTTGTCAAGCAGTAGCCAAGCAAACAGTCCTATGGTAACATCCTCGGTTTTTCGTGATAATTTGCAGCTACGAAATTTGTCACCCAGTGATATAACCAGTGAATGTGCTTTGTGGCATGTTTCCGCTTGTAAGACAAACATCGGATAACTACGAAAAGCGAATTAGCGTTTTGGGCATCAGCAGTACGCCTGTAGGTTCTACTGATGCCTCGTTGCTGCACAACCAGCACCAGTCGCGCATGGGCTAAGGATCTTGCGAGGGTCGGTCGTTCTCCTAAGCAGGCTCGAACGCGCGACCTCAGGTTACAAGTCTGATTTGTGATCTTATAGATCACATGCCGGGTGATTAACGTTTTATATTTGTTGTGTTTAATAAATGAAAGTGCAAAACCCTAACTACAGCTTATTGGGTTCTGCTAGGTGCTAGGCATTTTCAAGATTACCATCAGAAGGTGGAATCATCATTCCGTCGGTGGTCTGTTCGACACCATCTACAGATACCCTCACAATTAAACTAATAGTGCAGTTTGATACTGAGGAACCGCGACTGCGTAACAACAGTTTCACATAATTTAGTAATCCATAACAGTGAAGGATTTTAAAGTTCATAATTAGGCAGTTACTTGGAAGTCTGAATTATTCTGTTTCCACCATTAGTTGGGCTTTCTGTCACGTCCTGTAGGGTTTCGTTTTTTAATGCGGTTGAGCACGAGTTCCCCCCGCAGTATAGTTGGGACTGGGCATTATTACCAAATTTAAACATTTATTTGATCAGGAAGTCATCATACATTACTTATGGATTTACTGTTAATGCTCCGGATTGTGCCATATTGTTTGTGGTCATTTCACTGTCTTGCAGTCTAAAGACTTCTTTGACGGTAGAAAACTTGCGGTCTCAGTAGAATATTCGTCCGTTTCAGTGTTTTAGGTTCTTCCGTATCCGACCTGCAATTGAAAGCAAAGAGAATGTAAGTGGCCGGACGTCAAACCCCAACCACCTAGTAAGAACGAATATCGGCAAACAGCGTATTAAATGCCTGCTGGCAAGAAGACACCAGGAAGTGGCCGAGTAGCTGAGAGCAACCAAGCACAGCATGAAGCGTCAGCAGTTAAGGTGACGATAACAGGAAAGGCGGGGGCGCACAACGTTACATTCGGATCGTTTGGGGATAGTTGGGGTGCAGCCATTCTTGGACACACTTTTGCCTTTCGAATGAGATTCTTAAGGCGCCCACTCACAAGCAACGTAGACAGTAGACCTTGTTCGAACACGAACATTGAAAGATGCGACAAAAGCGGTTGTGCGGCAAAAAGATGGTCGTACAAATGCTCTGATATAGGAAAATTACAATCAGATCTCGGAGTATATAGGGTATCAGCGTCATATTGTAGGGCGAGATACTCAACGATGGCGTGGATGACGGGAAAATCACGAGAACAGGAGACAACGGCAAAGGACACAGATACCATGAATAACATCAGACGTGGCAACGCAGGCCCAACGGGAGGAGTGTACGTGCTGCAAGCGGTGGCGGTCCTGGACCAAACACAACAGAATAGCTATTGCTCGATAAATCGGCCCGAATAGCCTTCGTAGATGTCCCCAAGACTTAACCCAAATACAGTTGTGCTACCGCGATCAGGCAATTCAAGGGCCTTAGAACAAATCCAGACTGGTCAGAGTGCCACTTATGGAAGTGGAGATACGGGTCACTCAGACAGGAAGGATTCACCTAGTTGGGACGAGCTGACGCACGGATGTGACGGGCTGTCAGTTATCATGTGCGGTGCATTGTGTGACGGAAACATAATCCATAGATATGCGCTTGCGTAAGTGTTTGGCTGTTAGTTGCCGCGTACAATAACGCTCAAGTTTTCTTGCCGCGTCGTTCTTTCTATAACGTATGTGCTATTTTTTGTATTTTTCCGCTCATCCACTCTGAGGGTAGCCTCTTGAAAGACAAATTATTTAATGCTGAATTCCTGCTGTACTATTTGGTAGCCCGAACATGTTGTTCTTGTGTTACCAGGTTCGCGATCTGTTGTATGCACGGTATGCTTCCGTTGTGGCAATCGAGCGTACACGGTACTTATGATGTCAAGCGTCCACTTTTTCCAGTTCTACTCCTGTGACAACTTTCCGGAGAATGGATTGAATGACTGGGGATGAAAGCGTCGGGTGAAGTGTTTTCACACAATGCGTAGTGTTCAGGCCAAAAACTTATCGTTTACTGAATCGGAAGCATGCGGCAAACGCTGCTTTCGTTTCCAGAACCACGGCCCATCCAATTACAACACATATTTCACTAGTATGTTGCCGCACTTGTTTGTACTCAACGGATCATTTACATTAATCTTCGGAATGATACTACTGTAGATTGTGGACGAGTGTTGCTGCGTTTAACAGAGAACCGCTCCATGAGTTACGAAGCGATGATTCAGTAAGGGGAATACAGTGAAAATTTAGCGTGCTAGGATGGTTACAGCGAGTATCGTAAGATCAAGAAATAAACGGTGTAAGCAACCATATAGTGACCATGATGTCCAGCGAAGGAAAGGTTTTGATCCACCCACCCCAACATTATTCGAAGGTTAATGTGTTCATCGTTCTTTTGCGTTTTATTTCACTCCAAATGAACACTAACAATACCAAGTACTGTTAATGACTTAATACCTCTTCGAGTCACTTGTTATATACGTACAATACGGCCGTAGATATAAACTGATTTGGAAGGGCGTTCCAAGTTCAAAACTCTGTTGTACTTTTAACCTGCTATGCTGCAAGAATAACGTCGGTTGGTGATTCTTTTACTAACTGTTGTGATAAAAGTTTCAAAACTGTTCTACACCTGGTTTGTGTTCCTAACGATACAGTGTATCTTTAACTGAGCACCGTGTAAGCAATGCTACCTTCCGCAAATGAAAGACTTTAATCTGGGTCACATCATCTGCAATTTCTTGCAATCAGTCGCATAATAGTGCAGAAGTAGTGTTGCTAGGAGCCGTAGTAAAGCCATAACATCATTTTGCACGTTTCCAGCTACTCAAATAATCTTTTAACAAAGTTCACGCGCTTCACATTGGCGGGTACTGGAATTACACCACTGGTGACAGTACTCATGTGTTGTACGACTATTGCTCTTAATAACTGGGGTGCATATATATTGATTTCACATGAAAGGGATCTGCTCTTTGCACTATCCTCTGTGAACATGCAATCGCACTGGCTGTGTTGCCAATGAAATGAATAATTCCGGCGCCTCAGTGCAAATGTTATGGACTCTTGAAGAAGTTTTGGTGCAAAAAATCACCATGTCATTAATGGACCCACTAAATCAACGATACTACGGGTACATCATGATGTCAGAGATGTCGATGCAAATAGTTGACAAGGGCTGGTAGTATCTCAGAATACTGCGGCGTCGTACGACCGTAGAGCGTTGTGCGCTTCGTTGTGCCTTGTG